CCCGACGATAAAGTTGATTACGTGGTTACTGGGTCGTGGGGCGACAAGGCCTTCAAGGAGGCCCAGAAGTATTCTCAGCCCAAGGTGATCTGGTCCGGCAAGTCCGAGAAGTACACAAAGATCCCAGCTTTTGAAGAATTGGAGCAGAGCCCAGACGCCAAGTATTTGCATATATGCGCAAATGAAACCATCCATGGGGTTGAGTTCAAGACCTACCCAAATCCCAAAAATGGCCTCTTGATTGCTGATATGTCCTCAAATTTCTGCTCCAAGCCGGTGGATGTGTCCAAGTTTGGGATCATCTATGCCGGAGCCCAGAAAAACGTGGGCCCATCCGGAGTGACCGTTGTGATCATCAGGAAGGATCTGATTGGCAATGCCCAAGAGATCACACCTGTGATGCTGGACTTCAAGATTCATGATGAGAACAAGTCTCTGTACAACACACCACCATGCTATGGCATTTACATGTGTGGGTTGGTGTTTGAGGACTTGCTGGAGCAGGGTGGTTTGGGTGAGATTGAGAAGAAGAACAAGAGGAAGGCTGATCTTTTGTACAACGCCATTGATGAGAGCAAAGGGTTTTACAGGTGCCCAGTTGAGAAGTCTGTGAGGTCACTGATGAATGTGCCGTTTACTCTCGAGAAGCCGGAGTTGGAAGCTGAGTTTGTGAAGGAGGCAGCGAAAGAGAAGATGGTTCAGCTCAAGGGGCATAGGTCAGTGGGAGGGATGAGGGCTTCAATTTATAATGCCATGCCTTTGGCTGGGGTTGAGAAGTTGGTTGCTTTCATGAAGGATTTCCAGGCAAAGCATGCTTAAGATTTAGTAGCATACATTACTGGTAGAGTTGTTAGCATCTTTGGTTTGTTGTGTTTGCTATATTTTTGTTGTTGAATGTGAGTGGACAACAGCAAGAAGTTTGTATGCATATGTTTATGAAATTCTTGTCGTGTGGGATGAAGTTAATGCCCTAACAAGTTTAGGAATTTAGGCCAATATCCTCTGTTTAAAACTTTGTTGTCATAAGCTGAGACTGAGAGTAATGAATAATTCAATTCTGGGCTCTTCTTTCATATCAAGTTAAACCTCTCTACTTCTTGAGGCAATTGTGCTGTATCCAAGTAAGAAAAACTTTGGGCAATGAATACTCTATCAAGGGCTTATTTTGATATCTTGTATGATACTTTTTTAGTCAAATAAAATTAGTAACATCGCGTGTAGGGAGACTGAATGTTTATTGAAAAAAAGGACCCATCATCATCATCTGCCTGCAAACCACCATATGGTGAAATGGAAAATGGATGGTTCCCCAACTCACAAATTGATTCACCACCATGGAACTCATTACTTCAACGGCAACGCGAACAAGAGTAACAGAGTCAAAGACACAACCAGCTGTCCGCTGAGGCTTTACGTCAAATATCAGTCACCTTTGCCAGTTCATCAGCAATTTCAATTTCGGATATGCTCCATTCATACACATCCTCTATAATTTACTACAACTTTCAAAAGGAGTTTCCAAACAACCGAAACAACCAAGCCGAAACAGCCAATTGCTGGCTAAAATGTGCAAAAATCCAGGCTTCTTGATACCTGTTGGCTATGCCGCGGATTCTCACTCCAGCTCCTCAATTTCTTCCTGACTTGAAACAAAAAACATGCATCAGAACTCACCTAAAGAACAGTAGTAATCAAGATGAGGGATTACATAGAAAAACAGAGAAATAAGAGAGCGAAAAAAAAATCACCTTGGTTATATCAAGAAGCCCATTTCGGCCCGGCCCGGCCTGGTGCGCCTTAGAAAGCCCAGCCCATTGACGAGCCCTAACCTATTCTATTACCTCATCTATAAAAGGACGCCACATCTCTAACCCCCAAAATTTTCACGCTTTCCTCTCTTTGGGCGCCGCACTCTCCTATTCTGCGTTCTCCGCTTCTCGACTTGGCTTTCTTGCACTCTCTACCCAGAGGCGGAGCCACAGTGGGGTCAATGGGGTAGCGCGACCTCTTGGACGCCATGAAAATAAGCCTAGAGGTCCCTTGGAGCTGCTGGTGCGACCTCGTGGAGCTGCACGCCAAGTGGTCGACGAAATGGCTGAAAGAAGAAGAGTCTGCAAGCTGAAGAAGAAGAAAGAAGAAGATGCGCGCTGGTTCAGTTTTTTTTTAAAACAACCTGGGCAAAACGACGTCGTTTTGGCCCAGGGAATTTTTTTAAATGACCTGGCCAAAACTACGTCGTTTTGGGCCAGGTTGTTTTAAAATTTAAAAAAAAAAAAAAAAAGGGGCCAGCATCCTTCTATGATAGACAGACCCGATTCCTCAAACAAAAACCCCCAATTTGTTTTGTGTTCTCCTCCAAGGCTCCAACCCTAAGTTCCCAACTCAATCCCCCCTCCCTCAAACCCTCAACTCCATCTCCTCCCTTGCTGCCGCCAATGGGTTGCATCTGTGCTTCCGTCGTCGTCGTCGTCGTGTGGTGGTGCCGCCAGCTACTCTCTTTGTTTTTGCTCAAGCTTATTGTGAAATTTCACAATTCAAGTAAGTTCTAAACCCTATGTTGCTATGTATGATATATTTAATTTAATTGAAACCCAATTCATAGTTATTTTGATTACATTGGTGGTTTGATTATATTGTGAGTTTTTATTTTCATTATTTTGTAATGTAGAATATATTTAATTTAATTGAAATCCAATTCATA